AATTCTGACTTTTTTCCCATGTTAAACTGAAATAGAATTTAAAAATTAGTTTACTTTTTTTTTTTTCAGTGGCCCTAATTTTCTTCCGTAGGTTCCTGCTGTAGAAATGGGCTAAGAGAAAAAAAATCCCCAGAGAGCTTCACTGGTTCCTGGAAAAGGTTCCTGCACATCAATCACATCTTTAGAGGTCATTTGGTTTGATCAGGGGTCTTTGTTTCCTTTTTTCCTAGAAGTCATCTGGATCAGGAACAAATGAAATGGAAACAGGCTTCCGTGTTAGATATAAGAAATGCAGATTTTATTACTATTTTAATAATTCCTTTAACTATTTATCAATTAAATGGTGGTTTGTTTAGATGAACGGGCAAATGGGCAAACCGAGCACCGCGAAGACGCAATGCATAGGCCACCAACCAATAGTTTGTTTTTTCAGGGGCAATCCCAGAGTAGAGCATTTTCATGAGCATGGAGAAGACTTTAAAAACAAAAAAACAGGAGGATCAGCAATACCTGAGGAGAAGGTGCAGATCCGAGCCTGGTTTCCATGCCAAAGACGATCCGTTTCAAGAATCCCATGAGATTATTCCACATATAAAACACTCCGCGTGAAGCGTCCAAATCACAAAAACGGAAACAGGTGCAGCATCAGAGATTTAAGAGTTAAGTTGAATCTTTTGTACAGTTTGTAAAATAGTGAAATGGTCGCCTGTGGTTTTCTAGGTGACCATGGACCTGAAAGCATGTTGAAACCATCACTGCTAGCCAGGTAGGCTCTGTGATACAGTAGGATGCTTGCTTCAGTTTTTGGCTCTATTGTCAATGTTGTAAAAGTCATGTTTAAGCTCCATCTGTAAATACAATAGATACATAGAGATTTGGTGTATCCAGACACTATATTATGGCCATTATCCTAGCTAAGTATGTGCCATTTGAAAAGAGAAAAAAAAAACAAGCTTAACAGATTTATAGGTGGCAAGATACTGTATGTTGTGTGTTACATTTCTGGCTCGATGTGTCGTAACAGTAACGCTGTCTGGTCTCGCTTGCTGATTTTATTTTTATGTTTCTTTTTCTTTCAGATTTTATACTCAAAGATAATAGATCGCTGCAGTTGCAGAAGTGATGTGTGCTGTGAGCAGGATCAATAGCATGGTATATTAAGAAAAAAAAAAGTTGTGATACTGTTAGCTGGTTGCAGACATCTCTGTGACGTTGTGCTCAAAAGTTCGTCAGCAGACACTGGAGAAAAAAAAAAAGTTTCAACAAACTTTGGAGGTTCACGTTATTGCACTAAATTTTTACGACACATGGCTTTGTCACACCTTTATGGACAAAAAAAAAGATAAATTATGATGGGTGCCCGAGTAGAAAAAGAATAAAAGGAAAGAAAACTATTTTTTATGACACGACGAGTAAAGGAAAAAGAATGACTAATTGTCTTGTAGCAAAATGTGCATTAATCTCAGTGAGATACTTGTTTCTTACTCATTCTCATACACGAGAATACGAAGCATTGAGGGGGGAAAAAAGCTAAAATAACCTTTTAAAAGCCTACATGCTCATGTTGTTGATAAATGATTGTATACACGCATGTGTGATGACTTCTGTTGCATATTCTCGGTAACCACTGTCTTCTGTGATTTAGGCAGGTTCTGTTAACCATACTGGCAGTGCTAGTTCCATACGTTACTTTACTCTCTTTATTTTGTTTGTTTTTTAAAGCTTGTGTATGTGTTTACTAAGTTAATGTTCTTTATTTTATGTTGGGGTTTTTTTTTATTTGACATGATCCTTTTTTGATAAATGCATTTTTGAAGAAACATGTTTTCTCTAATGATCTTCTTTAACAACATGGCACTGATATTTGAATTGAAATGAAGGAAATGCACCTCTTAATGATTACAGCAGCTCCATCAAGCAGTGACTCTGACTCTTTACCTTTTCTGACCTGACCTTGTTTGACTATCGTGTCCGTTTCTACCAGAAGAAGAAGAAGAAAAAATACAACCCTCCTCTGTGTTGTTGTCTGGTGTTCTGCTTAATGTACAGTAGCTTGTTAATATTGCAAACGCGTTGTTTCTTTTTTCAATGGAAAGTACTCACTGGTGAGATTTTTAAAGTGGTTTTAAAAGCCAATAAACTTTTGTAAAGAATGTTGTGGGAGTTTGGTGATTATTTTAAATTTTATGCATTGTGTCATTTAAGCTTTACAAAAGTAAATGTATAGAGAAATCTCATTATCTATGGTTTCATTATAGGTAGTTTTTTTCTATGGCTTTATAGATTG